CCCGCCCACTACTCCAATCATTTTGCGTTTCCTAGACCAGAAATTACAATCCAATTTCCTTTAATGACTTTGAATATGATTATTGTTTTTGGGGGTATGGTTTAAGGGCCCTGACCCTTTACGACTGTTACTGTGGGGGGGCAGGGCCCAATGTTTAGTTGTTTCAAGATTCAGACTCACCATAAGAGGGGTATAGTTGCTCCTCCGTCGTTTTCTTCCTTGGTATTCATGTTGTTCCTTCCCTGGCCTTCGTCATTCTTTGCTCAACCTGCCTTCTTTCATGTCCTTCTTACAGCCTCCGGTTGTTGCCGTCCGTGCTTCCTTCAGACCTGAAGCAATGAGTCATTGCTTCTGGCGTTGCTTCTTCCAGCTGTGATCTGATCAACTGTTCTCATGTTTTTGTCTTGACCCTTTCTTGGTTATTGACCGATCATGTTGTTTGGTCCGCATCCCGTCCTGGTAGGACTTCTCATTTGCCATCTGCATAAACTCAAATTCGGTTGTGCAGCTGTTAACGACAGACACTTCTATGCCATCTGGTATAAGATAGCGTCGGTCTGAACTTCTTTTCTGAAACACATAAGTTGTTGCAAAGATAGGCTCTAGATAACCTGGATCCACGTCAGCTTCAGTGGATTTGGGATTTCCCCGCATTAGATCGTAGCCTCGAAAGAGGTAGTCGATATCAGGCATTGTTGGTGGCAGGTTCGAATGCTCGCGAGCGGTTTGCAAGCTGCAAGTAACATCACCAGCACTGGTAGCACCTCTTGCATTCGTGGCACTTGTAGCCGTGGAAGTCAAGCACAAGGGCAGAAGAAAGGCTTGCACAAACGGCATCGCGTTTCGACACGACAATTCAATCCATCTAGATTTCCCGGAATTTCTGAGAGGATCAGCGGTCATGCACCTGACTTTCGCAAGCATGAACAGAAAGAACACCAGTCAAGCACCACACAACGAATCTAATCCAGACTTTTTAAGTAAGTCATTGCACTAGGGCTGTGGCCTGGCAGCTTCAATTTCACCGGCGTGTTGGGAGGTAGCCAGTTGTTTGCATCCAAGAGATCTGGCGACAAAAAACCACCGGTGCGATGGGACGAGCACTGCTACTCTCAAGAATTACAAGGAGACAGAAAGAGAAACAAAGCTTCAAATCTCAATGCACCATGGTCCTTCCAATTCAATGCTGGAAAAAGGTGCTTTTTTGAGCGTTCACCCATTTTGCTGCATAAAGAGAAAACCGCTGCAGGCCTTTCAAAGGAAGCTGCCGCGAGAGGTCGCAAAGAGTGCCCTTTAAAAGGAAGGCACAATGGACCAACTCTTTTGAACTTGAGGCCCAACAAGTGATAGGCATCTGAAGGGGGGCACAGAAGCCCTCTCAAAGGCGACTTCTTATCAGAAAGATGTCGCAGAAGACCCCGTAGATCGGGAGTCTCGTCAAAATCACTCCCCAATCGGGGACCACATGTTGCGTAGCTACATTTCTAACTTATTGTACTTATATTTATAACTGAGCAACATTGAGAATTGAGACCAGTGATCAGTTCCCTGAATCAGAAGACCATGAGGTCAATCAAATGCCTCATCCATCGCCAAGTGCACCCTGCCACGGTGCAACCCCCCGTGATCTGCACCACTCAGCTTCGCCACTGCTGCATCGCCGCTCAACTTGCAGCCGGAACCGGAACCGCAGATCAGGGCGCTGCCGTCAGGGAGCCCCACGAAATCCTGGCGGATCAGATCGTTGAACTGGCCACGAAGCGGTATTGGATGGTGTGGTCATGATCTGGACGGAAGGTGGTTTTGCAACTGAGCCTACCTTCTTTTATGAGGAAGGAAGCTGAGACGGTCGATGAGAACCGAACTCTCGCGTGGTGCAGGATGCCCTACAATAAAGGAAGACCCTCAATGAGGACACTGGCCTTTTTCCCTTGGAGGAAGAACTCCTTCAATATGTCCAAACAGTTTGGCCACTAAAACAAATTGCGTCCAAGAAGAGAGTCGGAGATCTCATGTTCCTCGGTTCCAAAAAACAGGTGCTGGCCAAGGGGCAATCCGAAAGGCATCTTCGAAGAGGGCAGAGGTCGTGTCCCACCACTGCGCATCGGAATCCCAGTGGGGACGGACCGCGCAGTTGCCGGCCAAGCCAAAGCCGGACAAGTCATCCTGCAGAATTGGTGTCAGGCTGCTGAAACCTTCCAACGGACCTTCGGAACGGGTGTTCAACCATTAAAATTATATAGTTCTTTTTCTTCTACGCTCCTTTTCTGATCTTCACGAGCTAGACCTCCTATATTATATTATATATATATATATTAATTATATATAGTATATATATTTTATATATTTTATATATTTTATATTATATATATATGATATATGTGTATATATATATATATTGATGTATATTATGTATGTAACTTATACAACACTCAATGCAAAAAGTAAGCGAACAATGTTGGATTACAAGCCTGAACAACTTATCTGCTACAGTGTATATAGTTGGGAGTGGGGACTGCTCGAGCAAGAGTCACAAGAGTCAAAGAAGGTGGTCCAATGCATCATCGAGGCCCCAAACACTGCCGATCATGGAAGAGTGGACGGAAACTTAGTTGTTGGCGTCGGTCTTTCATGCTGAGACAAACCCACACTAACTTCTTTGAGTCTGTTTGATGCCGGCGGTGTCGAACCCTCCGAAACTCCCACCTTGAGCAACTGCGTAAGGATCTGTGAACCCGTCTGCCCAGCGGCCGCCGTGCTCTTTCCCGCCAAAACGCTGCCAGCACCCAAACCGAGGAAAACGGCTTCACCGCTATTCACCCGGTCGACCTGGGCAAGTTGAGGGGATGTGGCATCCGTCGGTCGACCGGTGGCGAATGACGGGACCACCCAGTGGGGTTCAGGCGTCTTGCAGCAATAGGACACCCGGCAAACTAGTCGAAATAGCCCTGGAGGTTGTTCTTGAGATGTATTCAAAAACTATCCGCACGTATGAGTTGGGTAGGGCCTGGGGAGGGTCGTGGGTTCTTTCATGTCGTGAACCGTCCGTAGCAGGGACCTCTAAACCAGCAATCTCTCAACCAGTTCGGGACAAGAAATCCGACATGGTTGCATCTCCAAGAAATTCTCACATTCCAAAACGTAAGAATGGCCTTCAAACAAGAGTCCTCTGAGAAACCCCAAAACGTCCTGCAACAGTTCTCCTTTATGTCTTCCTGCAGGTCAGACTGACCAACTTCCTCTTCCCTTCATCGTCCACGCCGCAATGGCTTGGCCCAATTTCGGGGCAAACTTCTTGTAGACATAAGCCAAGAAATCCACATTGCCCTCGCTCATCACCAGGACATCTGCCTCCTGAATCTTGCTCACCAACTCTTCCACGCAGGACGTGTCTTCAGCGGTCATGGGGACCTGACAGCCATGGCAAGACCATCATTGACCATATCTGACTCTCAAACATTGAAACGTCTTGGGATTTGAAGAAAAACCGGCAAGTAAAGCAAGTTCTTCTCCAGGTCCATCGTCGTTTCCTCTTCGTGGCCAGGTGATTCAAAGCCTCTGCCTCTGGTGCCCGGTGCTGCGACTGCAGCGTGAAGAGCGCGCTCTTTTGCTCGTCGCTGGCACACTGGTCGAAGGCGCCGAGATGGGAAATGGAGCTCGGAAGGATGCCCAGCTCAAGGAAGGTGTCGTCCACGGCAGGCGCACGACCGGCTCGGAGTCCTCTGAAGACAAGCGGAGTGAAGCGGGAGAAAGGGTGAAAAGCTCAAAAAAATAGATGGACTGATGCTGAGTGCGACAGGCGTTCCAGGTTGTGTTGGAATAGTGTTTCCATCAACCCCCAAAAAGGGCTGAATTTTGTCTCCTAACCTTTTCGAAAAATGACATGCACCTGCACCTGTCCTTTGAAGCCTTGAGTGGCTTCTTGAACCATGCCCAGCTCAGTGCTGCTCTGGACCTTCAGGGTCCCCAAAAAGCTCAAGCGGCACCATGCGGTACCCACTCTGGTCCTTCAGACACGGAGTTGAGAAACGACCCGACGACCAGACGACCCGCCGAACCTTCAAGTAATTCAACTGGTCCGGGGCTGCAAAGTCCCGATTTGCTGCATCCCAGAAGCCTTCCGACAAAAAGGCCGCGTCGTCCAAGGACACCACCTGCACCGCAGTGGGTCACGACACCGAACTCATGCTCCGAACTTCAGGCGTTTGGGCTTTTTTTGGACGCTTCCCTCGCCGAATGAAAGGACATGAAAGGACTCATGTGCAACAATATGTGGCCCTTCGACCCAGCAGTCACTTGTCTTTGCTTGTCTTTGCTCCTTTCTCCCAGAAAGGGAATGCACTTTGTGTCCGTTAAAACTGCTTGTTCCACTGATGTTCATTGATGTTCTTTCCTAAACATGCTTGCTCAATCCGGTTCTACCACTGTCACCTCTGGCCCAGTTGCACCTTTAGGCTTTGCAGGTCCAAAGGCAGCCTGGCCACAAGCGACAGGAACTGCTCCTTGGAGGCGTCCTGGATGCAGGGATTACTCCAACTCATGAGAGTGTTGAATATTTTGGAGCTCGAAGGCTCGGTCTTTCTCCAGTGCCTTGCGAGTCTTTGGGCGTCTAGCACCACGGCAGGCCCTGCCCTCAAGTTGGGTCCCAGGTTTCCCAGGTTTCCCAGGTTGGGGCACCCACTTCCTCGCTTTCAGATGGTTTCCACGGTTTCAACCCGCACCTGCAAACCCGAAGAGGTGAGAAGCACCTTGGCACTAGCACTGCCGCACGTGGGTGCCTCAGGCTGCTCATCGAAGAACCTCAGGAAGTTGAGGAGCTGAGCCAGGAGCTGAGGACCGTGAATTCATCCGGAAACGCAAAGAGGGAGTCGCTTCAATTGAATTTGGGTGAGTTCTGACTGAGACACCCAAACTAAGAAAGGACAAGATCCAAACCCTCTATATTATATACTTGTTGACCCTTTTCTTCGGCAAATCTGCTTCACATCCACTATTTGTTAGTCTTGCCTTGATCAGCACCCTGCCAAGAACTAATATAGAAACTGGGGAACATGTTCTCCGTTCCCCCTTCACCCCGGTCACGGTTGTATTCGGAAACTGGACGGTTGTATTCGGAAACTCGGCGGCTGTATTCGGAAACTCCACGGTTGTATTCGGAAACTCGGCGGTTGTATTCGGAAACTGGAACGGTTGTATTCGGAAACTGGGATTCGGAAACTGCGCGGTTGTATTCGGAAACTGGTATTCGGAAACTGAAGCGGTTGTATTCGGAAACTGGAAGGGTGGTATTCGGAAACTGCACGGTTGTATTTGGAAACTAGTATTCGGAAACTACACGGTTGTATTCGGAAACTGGTATTCGGAAACTGAGACGGTTGTATTCGGAAACTCCACGGTTGTATTCGGAAACTCATATTCGGAAACTGCGGGGCCGGAATCTCTCTCCAGTGCGTGTATCTCGATGGCAATGCCAGGAAAACTGCTCTGAACGGATTTTCTCACAAGCGCCCCAACACCCCCCACACCCCACCCGCCCTCCATGGTACGCAACTATCCACATAAGCTT